CTCTCGCCGGTGACTGAGGAACGGAACTCTTTGCTCTTTGCCGATTTTCATGTGGGTACCCCACGTGCCCCTAAACGGCGACGTATATGCCTAAACAAAAAGCGGTCTATTACTACACATTGTTCTCTCCCCATAACTACTCTTATTTCTTCATAATTTTCTTTACCATATAGTTCATCAACTCTTATTAGTTGCTATAGTTTTAAATGTTTTTATTTAATATCTATAATTGGATTTAGTTTTTATTTTATCTTTAGAATTTTAGAAGTTTAAATTGGATCTTTATAGTAATTTGATCAAAAACTTACAAATTGTCATACCATTATCAATGTTACATACTTTATGTTTAATGAGGTAATGTATTTTTATTCGGCTAAATTGAAGGATTGAAATGAAAGTACATATCTCGACCAAAAAGTCATGAATTCGAATCGTCCACTCCTACGTGCGATTATACTCTAAAAAACAAAAAAAAAACAAAAACCAAAAACAAAATGAGTTATTTGGTACCTATAAAATAAATTTAGGGGATAATTGGTAAAGTAATTTAACAAAAACAATAACAATCAAATTAAAAATTTTAAAATCACATGGACAAATTAAATTAGAACTAAGCTTAAACTATGAGGCAAAATTAAAAACTTTTAAAAGTATATTGGACTAAATTGAAACTAAAAAAAATGATAGCACGGCCAAATTATTAATTTAACCTGTAAAATATTTTTGAATTCAACAAGGATGCATGAGTTTTTTTTTAATAATGGTTTAATTTAAATTTATTCCAAATATATATCAATCTCCAAACTATTTCCAAGAATAATGTTTGAAAAATTATAGGTCTCTTTGAAGAGACGACCTACGTCACTTCACAATTTTCGAGTTGCATAATACCTTACTGGCACCATGTATGTTTTTTTTATTTTTTTTTATAATTATGACATGTTGTCTTCTCAAGAGACAACATATGCCTCAATTGTTCAAAATTACGATGTAGTGGTGGTAAGCTTGCTTTTTCATCCGGAGGTTTTAGGTTCAAATCTACATTATAGACATATGTTGTCTTATGATTCTTGAAAATAATTTTGGGTTGTTATATATTTGGAATAAGTTTGAATTAAAACATTATTAAAAAAAATATCCGAGATTAATTAACTAATTAGACCTTAGTAGGAGGCGTGGGTTTAATTAGTTGTTGCTTGGGGAGCAAGTGGATAGAAGATTCCAGTAATCAGCCGGCCGGAAGACAAACTCGTATTTGCCTCTCAAGTCTCAACTGTCAACGAGCACGTGCTCGTGAATACTTTATTTTTGGGCTTTTCTTGGTGTCCAAGCAATTCCAAATTTCTTCCAGTACTGTAATTGAGTCTATATCTGATGATCTGATTCCCCAACCAAATCCGATCTGCAATTAAAAGCAGCTTAATTCGTGGGTCGGATCGACACACGTACGCACGCCATGGTTTATTGTGTTGCTGAAGCGTACGTTATGAGAAAAATGAGCAAGCAGAATTTGAAGAAGACGGATCAGAAGGAAGAACTGCAGGATCGTCAGAAGGCAACAAAGAGTAGTGATTCCAGCCCTAATTATAACCATGAACTCAATCACTCCTCCAAGTCCTGCTCCAGATCCTGCTTGTTAACCAAAATTAAAATCCATCCAACTAAATCCAGACCGTCCGATTAGTGGACTGCTGATTATCGGTCGTCGTTTCCGAATTAATCTCTGATCTGCTGTACGTGTTCTCCGCCATCGTCGTTAACTTCTCTTCGATCTATCAGTTTCCTTTCTATTGCGTTATTTGGTTCTCACCTTTAATTTCTAACTGTATACTTCAATTGGAGTAATCCAATCGCTGCGTTCATGTGTAGATTATGATATAATGCTATCCATACGTAAGTGACGAAATAAATATATCTCCATTCAAATTTGTAGTTAATCTTTCTTATCATATCTATTAGTGGATTATATCATCTCCCTCTCTATCTCTCTCAAAATCTTTAGCGGAAAAAAAAAATCTAGATGGAAAAAAATACTACCGTGTCGGTGATGAGTGCCACAAGACATGGAAAATGGAAAATACTCAACTTCTCAACGCGAGCAATCTTGTACCTCATTATCAATTCGAACGTACATTCATTCATATAATATATAAGGACAAAGTTTCACTTGATAAAACTTACACCAAAAAACAATCGATTTGAGACTGTAAAACCAAATAATGCATTACTTTAAATATCTTTTTTACCAAAAAAGAAAAAAAACTTCCATACTCGATGGTGTACTAGCAAAGGAACTTTCACGTGACCTAAAAGAAATAAATTGAGATCTTAAGAATAGCCCGATGACCCATAAAAACAATTTCAAAGGTAGACTTATACAAATATTCGTGACGAAACGAGGTGTATAAATCAACGCAATCACTCTTTAAAAGTACCAACTTGAGCTTTGCATGAATTCGAATTTGTTGTATAGTAAAGGAAAAAGAAAAAAACTGCTATAAAAGTCAATTACAAGTTAAATTATAGGTTGATTTTCATCCATCAAAATTCATCTTTGAATAAGTATTTGAATTTGATGGTTTTATCGTGTCATAACTGAATGGTTGCATTTTAGGAAGGAAAAACAAGAATAAAAGTAATGTATGTTTTAAGAAAAATATAACCAAATTTCACTCGAAAAATGTAATTCCAAAATGTTTTTTCTTTTTGAGTTCAACATCTTAAAAAATGTATTATTCCATAGTCCATTGTTTAACCAAAAAACAGTGATGTGTTAATGTAATTCTTCTAAACATGTACACAGGGAAATATAAAGGCTTTCAAATATAACAGATGATTTAAAAACCATCCATTGAGGAACTAAAATAATAATTAATATGAGTCAAAATTGAGTTACAAGGGATAATTCAAAAACCATCCATTTGAGGAACTCAATGCACGTCCCTTCTCCTTTACTTCTTAGTCGCCTATAATATTCAATGCACGTAATTTAGAGGGGAAGATTTGCAAAAATTGAGGCGATAGGGAAAGAAGCCGGGTGATACACGACAACTAAAGTGTATGAACTTCTTGAGTCTCTAACCACTTGAATCCAATCGTGTAGTTGGTTCAACCTGAAAGAGAAATGTTAGATGAATTCAAACAAGTATGCTCGGAGGGTAAATCACAAAAGAAAATGCTATTTGAGGTGTAGAAAACTCTCTCAATTTTATTCAATATCGAAATCCAAGATTTGGGGTACACGCCCTATTCATAGGCTAAGACCAACTGCCTTTACAAAATATTTGTAAAATAAAAATAAACCTAAAATCTAAAGTAAATAAAATAAAACAAAATATTGTCCTAAAATCTAATTTAATTAAAAACAAAATAATCTAAGTAAAATAAAAAGGAAATCTTTTCCTTAAAGGAGGGGGAGTGGGCGCCAAGCTAAGCATTTTGGCGCCAAAGGGGGGCGGCACGTGAGTGGAGGCAGGCACGTGGGGATTTGTGGCTGGCATGGGACGTGCGGGCACTGGGGTAATGTGGCAGGGCAGGTGCACGCGGGTTGTGTGTGGCGTGTGGCTTGCGCAACAAAGGCGTGTGGCGTGCGCGGTAGGGTTGTGCGGCATGAGGGATGGACGGCTCGCGCTGTTGAGGCAGTAGACGAGCAAGCGTTTGAGTGTGCAAGCAGGAGGCATGCGCCAGGATTGAAGGGCACAGACGCATGCAAGCTGGACGCTGGCGTGCCCACAGGGCTGTCGAAGGTCTGGCTTGAGGTAATCATATGATCCTATCATTGAGTCAATTTATTCTTGACATCATGATCCTATCATTGAGTCAATTTATTATTGACATCAAAAATTAAATTTAAATAGTATTGATCGACAGAAGTGTGACTGCAAGCACGTGAGATCTTACTATTGTCTTTCTTTCAATTCATATTACTAATTTAAATATAACTCAATTGATTAAAGCATTATGCATATATTTTAAAGGCCAAATGTTTAAATCTCAACCCTCACATTGTATCGAGAAAAAAATGGCTAGAGCTATCGTTTATAAATAATAGGCTTAATATATAAGGCTCTATGTTATATCCCCTCCCTTTTATTGTAGGTAAGTTCTTTTTTTAAAGGAATTAAAAAAAAACACACACACAAAAGAAAATATGAACTTATATATATAGCATTAGGTTTAAAATTTTACAAAAATGACATAAATGACAAACTTATACGATTAAGTGAGACCAACCAAAATTTACATTTGTGTTTTTTTTTACAAAAAATAAAATAAAAATATTTTTATAAATACATATTTATTTTATGCTATTTAGTGTAATAAGTATTTTTTTTTCATATATTTTTTCTCTGTATCTCTTTCTCCTCGTTTAAGTATGATGTAACCATTTTAAAATGTGACTTTAGAAATTTTAAACACGTAAAAGTACTTTAAAAGATAAGAAGAAAAAAGAGAAATCACACTTAAAAAGTGAACATTTTTCAAAGGACTTATAAACTAAATGCCAAAATGCCTTACTTAAACCTATCTCTCTAAACATACTTTTATCAAAAATCATCTTAAACTTAACTCACTGGGGGTAATATAGAGTTTAACCTTTTATAATGGTGTTGGTAATATTTTTTTTTCCTCTTAAATAATTTTAGGCATTTGAAGAAGCATTAATTAAATACTTATTCTATAAACACTTTGTAAAATGTAGTTAGAATTTTCAAAATCACATTTGAGGTTGTTTTTTGAAAAGTACTTTTAATTAGCTAAAATAATTTTTTATACCATTTAAAATGTCAAACTATATATACTAAAATAAATTAAAGTAACGTGTCTCAAAAAAAAAAAATTAAAGTAACTAAAAGCTGGAAGGACCAAAGTACAATTTTAATTTTTTAAAAATTGAGGACTAATAGAGAGGAAAATAAAAAATCCGGAATTGTAGAAAATTCAGAGGGTGATTATAAAGGAGGCGCGAGAGGGAAGCTGGCGCGGCCAATTAGCGGCGCCAAATCCAGAGCTCGCGCGATTGCAATCGCGAAGCCAATTGAGTTGCAGTTCCACAGCCACAGCCAGCTGCTGGTGAGTGGTGCGGCCCAACACAGGGAAACCGCAGCGACACAAAATATTCTTCTAATTCCAAGCACACCGCTATTCAATTCTTATCTTGCGACGCGACCCCCTCGGGCCTCGACCAAAATCCCTGCTTCCTGGGTTTTCCTTTTCCGCTCCCTTCTTCTCTATTTGGGTCTTCTCCATACTCTCACACTCTTCCGCCATCTCCCTCTATTCGCCCTTCGCTCTCTGTTTTTGCGAAACCCTTTTCCGGACCCTGTAAATTGTAATTGCCCCCCACTCTTCCATGGAGGAAGCCCTCCAACGGCCTAATTTCGCCCGCTTCTAGTTGCCTTCTCTTTCACCCACATTCCCTTTTGCAGGTACCCTCTGTTTCTTCTTCTCCGTTCTTTATTCTGTGCGGCTCTGGAATCATAGTTCTAACCGGGGAATTGAATTTATTCGCCTGTGATCGTCCTTACTTTGTTGCTCTCCCAGTATTTTTTAGTTTTTCTACTAGCTTTTTAGCTATCTACTTTCTACATACTTCGTTTACTTATGTAACTTGGTTGTATCTTTTTTTGTTTTTGTTTTTTTTCCCCCTCTCAATCTCATAACGTAGATCTTGACTTGCGGCTAGATTATTAGTCTCTAATTTGCTAAATTGTATAGGAGAATGCTTATTCTTTCTGACGAGAACCACATTCTGACCTGTTTAAATTTGGAGAAAAACTCATTATTTTACCCTTCTTAGTTGAGTGAGTCATTGAATTTAACTCTGAGCTTGAATAAGATATGCTTTTGAAAGCCAAAGCTTAGAAACCCAAATATCTCTAATCTTCCCCCCACTTTCTTCTGCATCTTATTTTTAAATTAATGCACTTTTTATTTTTGCAAAAAGGAGGCACCGTGCATATGGGTTCTTGTTACAAAGAATCCAGAAATTTATCTTACTTGCATCAACAACTCCGTTTTTAGTAATTAAAATTATAAGTTGCATCAAATAGATTTTATGTTCCATCCCCTTTCTTGAACATCTTCTTTAGGAGTTAATAAACCATTTTGTTCTAAGGAAAAGGCGGCACTAAGAATTCATCGAATCTTGTTATGAACAGCCCATATTTATATCAATAACTCCATTTTAACAATTAAGATTAGAAGTTGCACTGAAAATCTCTGAGCCGTGCCCTCAAAATCTTAATTGCACCAAGTTTACCAGTTGCATATCAGTCAATATCATTTTAGGTGATGTTTTATGTTCAAATAATGTTATAGATAACTGCGTTATTATGTATTTCATTTGTTCCCTTTTCTTCAAACATTTTCTCCCTACACAGATTGGTCTGCATTTTTCTACTTTATTTCTGGAACACAGTTATCAAATTCAATGGGTGGTACATTCAATGCACACATTTTGGTGGACAAGCTAGCCAGGCTTAATAACTCACAGGCGAGCATAGAGAGTATCCTCTTTGATATTTGTATTCTGTTTTAATCCCAAGATATGTATTATTATCATTCCATTCTTTTGGCAAAATTACTTTTCTTTTTCCTTATATCTCACTTTTTGGACATTGGTTGCTCTTTTTTTTTTCACTTGTTTTGTTGACCAAGATTCTGTTATATGAAATATTTCTTGGATATTATATTTGGGTCTGATAGGGGTTTCTGTCTGTTTTCTTTCCCCACTGTTTCCTTGGCATAACTATTTGGTTAATTTTCATTGTGATTATCCAATGAATCCGTAATGAATAACTTGTCACTGTCCCATTTTGAAATAGATTAACTTCCATTAGTTATATAGTCAGGATAACTATATTTAGTCTTATGTTTTGGAAGAAGTTTTACTTCTCTTCATATTACTGTCTTTCTCTAGCTGTCCTGGCAATGTTCTTTACATTTTCTTTTACAGGATCGGTTATGGATAGTATGTTCTCAGCGTGTCGTTTAGGATTTATTGTAGTTTATTTTCTCTTGGGTTCCTTATTTTTTATGTCTGTGTATGTATATTATATGGTATGGTACTGTGGACCTGTGGTACTGGGACCACCCAGTAGTCCATTTATGGTATGCTTCTATATCATTATATACATGTATATTCCACACACACAAGTGTCTCTTGAATTATATTCTCATAAAACAACTCTTTTAAGTGGATGGATGTTGCAAAGCATAAAATCTTCTACTTACTATCTGAGGTTGGTGCAAAAAATGAATGGATGAGGCAAAGCTAAACGATGTTTATCACCTGTCAAAATATAAGGGGTAAATAGGGTAAATTAGAGAAGACTGTTTATGAATATGAGAGATGATGAGAAAAAGTATAAGGTTGTTGGTACTAGCCACTAGGTGAGGCACTAAAAGTGCATTTGAAGTGCCTAATTCCTAGGTGTGTGCCTTATAATTACTTGTCTATTTGGTTTCTTAGTTCCATCCTTAATGTTATTAAGCTTTATCCCATTGGTGTATATTTCACATGAACAAAGCCAAGCAAGTTGTAGAAACATGGGATAAGCAGTTTCATTGTGCTCCACGTGAACAAAGATTAGCCTATCTATATCTTGCAAATGACATTTTGCAAAACAGTAGGCGAAAAGGCTCAGAGTTTGTTGGTGAGTTTTGGAAAGTCCTTCCAGATGCACTTCGTGATGTAATTGAGAATGGGGATGATTTTGGACGAAATGCGGCCCTACGACTGGTACATCAATGCTGACTTTGCTTCCTTATCCATTATTAATTTATTTTACTCATTTGCATAAATTTTCTTGCACCGACGTCTTGTATGTTTCTGTCCCAAGACTTAAATCTAATTGGATACTTGGCATTCAAGACTCTTCTAATATATGTATTTCCTATGTATAAAAAAAGAAAAAAAAAACATTGCATGCGAATCTTATGTTAACACTGTTTTTTAGATGCTCTAATTTTAAATTTATAGGCTTTCCATCTTTTATCTTCTGCCCCTTAGACAAAACTATGCTAAGTTCTTGGCATGCAAAAATCAGTATAAACATACAAATTTCGACACTTGTTGTAGGGTTAGGTAGTTTGCTTGTAGAATTAATATGACCTTAAGCTGGCGCGAACATCCACTATTATTTTATATGTATAAACTGTCATTATATGATGCATGCGTGTGTAATATTTGCTTTAATGGGTTGCTTGCTACATAATGAATTCCTATACTTAATTCAATAACATATGTGCTTAAAGAAGAAGTTAAAACTTAGGAAGTTTTATAAACAAATTTTCAATTCATCAAAGTTTGTTGGATGGTACACAAACAAGAAAATATAAGTATAAATATAAGTATATCATATAAAAAAAGTATAAATATAGTCTTCCCCCTCGGGTGATTGATTACACCATCAATGTTTCTACTGCCATTTTTTTTATTGAGCTTTCGTCTGTGGCTATGGTTGATGTTTCTGACACTAATTTGTTCGGAACCCAACTTTGAGTTAAATAGAAAGTATAATGACAGTAAGTAGGTACCTCGAGCAACCTAGAACCCTCCCCTTGAGCCAACCTCAACAAAATAGTCTGCCTCAAGTTTACTGCCTTCTTCCCTTGTCTATATCCACGGGCCATTAAAAGTTCCCTCCAACAAAATTAACAAACTCCTGCCATCCCACATAGTTACAAAATTCTCTAATTCATATACTAATTGAACTCCATTGTGTAGCAGAAATCTTGGTACAATGGAATATGGATATTGAACTCTCTTATAACCAATTAGAGAAGCTTTCTGTAACTCCATTGGTTCATGTGGATCCTCCACTTTTTTGTAATTTCAATCATCAATGAAATTGTTTCTTATCAAAAAAAAAAAAGGTATAAGTGACTTAATTTGATAATTTGCCTCGTCATTCTTTTGTGTTTAATGATGGTTGATATGTTGAAGTGGAAGAGAATTTTTATTTGTTAATTATTTTTTGAGTTCAACGAGAATTTCTATTGTTACTGTCTGTTATCATATGTGTTTTCATTTAGGCCTGTCTTAATTTTACTCATAGATTGGAATTTGGGAAGAGAGGAAAGTTTTTGGATCTCGTGGGCAAAGTCTTAAGGAAGAGATAATGGGAAAGCACGTGGAAACTGGTAATCGGAATGGGAAGCAATTCAGCGTTAAACTGGTAAAATATTGCTCTTCCATCTTGACTACCAAGTTATGTTCAATAATAGTCTTGCCATTAAACCACCTATTTTCATTATTCTTTTGAACAGAAACAATCTACCAGCACATCATTGGATAAAATAGTTGCTGGTTACCAAGTTGTTTATGGAACTGAGATTGATGAAGATGTAGTATTGAGCAAATGCAGGAATTCTATTAGCTATCTTGAGAAACTGGACAAAGAAATTGGTGCTGATGTTAATTCAGGTACCTGTAGCTTATACTTGTTGATGGGCTTGCAATTATTTTTGCACATATCCTGTATTGTATGAGTTCTCTCCTGTTGTGTTGTAGAACTTTTAGATTTTTTCCTTATTTGTGTGGGGAAATTCGTACTGAATTTTGGGAACCAATTAACAATTTGTGCGACGTGTTCTTTCGTTCCCCCCACCTTCATCTGGTGAGCCCCAGAAAAAGGGCTTTTCTTTGAACTTTTGGTTTTGGAGAAACTAAGCACTTGTGAATTGTTGGAAAAAGGTCTTTTGTGTCTTTTTACCTTAACGGAATTATCTTGTTATGGGACCCATGAAACGTTTACTCTTTTGTTTCATGATTATTACTGGCTGAACTTTAAGATTGCTTGTGTGCTGTTCTTCTTATTTTAACTGCACAGGGCAATACCATGGATCTTCAGTGTCAGAGGATCTGCAGAGACATCATACCATTTTGAGGGGCTGCATCGAACAATTAACAGCAATTGAATCATCAAGGGCAAATCTCGTGTCTCATCTGAGAGAGGCTCTTCAAGAACAGGTATTTGGCATCTCTTTGGAAAATAAGTAATATGATGGTTGGTTGTTCGAAGTAAATCTGATAGCCTTTTCTCAACTCTCTTATTTTCAGGAATTCAAATTGGATGAAGTCCGAAACCAACTTCAGGTTTGCATTTCTGTCTCACATTGTCTTGCGGTATGAAGTCATTGATTCTTCTTTATTTTTCTACTTACTTGGGTTACATTCAAGGATTTAATTAATCCTTATATGAAAACTTTGTTTGTTTGGTGGGATTGGTTCTATTTTAACATGATGCTAACCTTTTTAGTCTCAAGTTGAAATTCATGCCTAGGCATTATTTTTCATTTAAAAGTTCATACTTAGCCAAACCTGTGTAAAGTTTACGACTAAATGTATGAGAAGTAAGTTTCAAGAAATTTTAGTGACAGGGAATTCAATCCCATGGTATAGGCTTTTGGGATCATTGTCATTTGAACCATATTGAATATGAGGGAGTTGGCATATGGTACCGTGTGGTTCCTTGTATCTACATCCAGAAGATCACGTTAGTTTATATATAAAGCCCCTTTGAATACCTTTAGAATTGATGAAGATTATGCTAAATGATGCATTCCCTGTTTAATGGACCGAGGACCAACTATAAAAAGTTTATGAAAAGCTTTGTGCTTAGTTTGAAGAAGAATAAAAACAAAAAAGAAAAGTGGGGGTCCACCATTCTGATAGAACACTACATCAAATTTGCTCAATTCTTTGAACCTCTAACAAGTTGTGGGTCCTTCTTACCAAAAAAAAAAAAAAGATGTTGGTCCTATAAAAAATTATAGATTTTAAATTTACAATACTTGTTTTTGGTCTCTATTTTTATTGACAACGGTCAAACTGATCTGCGAGGGTTGTTATTGGATTAATGTATATTAATTGTTTACATATTTTGTTTTAAATTAATATAATCCTTGAAAACCTTGTCATTTCAGATTATGATAAAGCTTAGATTAGAGAAGTAGGGAAGAGAGGAAGTAAGAAGTAACAATAGAGGTTGAAAGGAAAGCTACGGTTTCAGCTGCTAAAAGTGTAAATATTTCAAAAACTTAAACATAATGTGTCTGATATCAATACAGTATGGCATCATCAAAGGGGCAAAGGGGCCTTGGAAATCTCAGGAAAATATTTAGATGGCAGTGGCACAATGGGTAGGGGGTTGTCTCTCAACAGTAAACTTTCCTATAAATGGAAAATCTAGAGGAAATTTTTTTGCTAGTCGATGCTCAAGACAGGAGACCCTCTCTCTCCCTCTTATTTACGTTAATTAGAGATGAGAAAGGTTTTATAAAAGGCTTCTAGTTTTTCAACCTCAGGCTTCATGGACTTTAAAACCGTGAGCCAAATATATCAGAGTAGAAAAACTTTGGAAGATAGTGTAGTAAGTAATTTCTTCTTGGGACTCAACAGAAGATCCATCATTCATGATCCTTTTCTCCCCTGATGATCCTACAGAAGAGCCTGCTAATTTTTTTTCTTTCGGTTAGCCATGGTGCCTTTACTAATTTTACAAAGAGCCCGAGCCTTTTGATGAAGGATACATTAGAGAAATAGGGAAGAGAGAACAAAACAGGGAGGGGAGAAAACCAGAGTTTTCGTACCCAAATAAAATATCCAATACTTAAAAGTTCAAAGTTAAAGAGGAACTGAATTTCATCGAAGTAATGAAATTCACCCCCTCCCCCCGTCCTTTGGAGGGTTGGTTTTTTTTTGCGGTGTTATAATGCATTTTGATCGAAAGGAATAATAGAATCTTTGGAGAGGGGAGGGGAGAGGTCTTGGAGGAACTCTGGCATTTGTTTAGATTTAATGCTTTGTTGTTGGACTCGGTTTCGAGGGACTTTTGTGATTATTTGCTTGGTCTCATTTATTGGATGAAGCCCTTTCTTATTTGGTTAGGCTAGTTTAGGCTCCTTTTTTTGGCTGTTGTTTTTGTATGCCAGCTTTTGTTCTTTTTGTTCGCCAGTTGGTGTGATTTTGTATGCTTTCATTTTTCTTAATGAAAGCTCGGTTTCATTCGATAAATAAAACAAAAATTCATTGAAATAATGAAATGCGTACAAAAGGGCAGGAGAGCCTTCCAAATGCTAAGGGGGTTACAAAAAGCCCCTCTGATTATCCTTTTTAGTTTGGCTTTCAATTTCTCTTATTTTGTTGGTAGGCCAACATCTCTGTTACCAGCTGAAACCTAAAGAATTAGTGGCATCGGCTGGTTGATAGAATTCTGTCAGACATGTTTCAAACAATACTTCGTGGTCTCTTCTTACTTGTATGCATTTTGACAGGCTTCCCATTCCCAGTCGGAACAAACTCAGAATCTCAGCCGTCAGTTCTTAAATGGTGAAAATGTGCAACCCATGGCTGAGGAAGCCTCAAAAGATGCTCAGACCTCAATAGCGCCACATAGCCTTGTACCAAGGGAGAGAGAACAATCAGCACCAGTTATGTATGCAGCCTCCTTACCTTTTCCTGCAAAACCTGGACCTAATGAGGAAGATCCTCGCAAGTCTGCTGCTGCTGCAGTGGCAGCGAAGCTAACGGCATCAACGTCCTCGGTTCAGATGCTCTCTTATGTCCTCTCTTCCCTCGCATCAGAGGGTGTGATTGGAAATCCAATTAAAGAGTCATCCAGTGATTATCCCTCTGAGAAGAGGCCCAAACTTGAAAATGACCAGCCACCCTATACATTGCCTCCGAATCCTCAGCGACCTCCGGTTTCTTCCTTCCCACACCCTGAGTCCCTCCAACATAATGCCTCGTCCACCAGTCAACAATACACTCCGACTGACCCTCCACCTCCCCCATCATCATCTCCACCGCCCATGCCTCCATTACCTCCTGTAGTGCAGTTCCCTCTGCCCCAGTTCACACAGAATGCAGGATCAGTAAGTAGCGTACCTTACAGTTACAGTCTGACACAACCACTGCAACCATTAGCGATGCCGGGCTATCCAAATGTAGGTACCCCAGTGACCGGGATGTCTCCTTTTACGATACCAACAAATTCTTACCAGAATTTTCAGGCTTCAGATGGTAATTTCTATAATCAGTCATCATCCATGCCGATGGCACCCATGTCTAGGCAATAGAGGTATGTAATACTAGTGCTACTTGAGCCGTGTTGTGCTAACAAAATCTTTCAGAAAGTGGTGCATCCCATTAAGGCGCTACGAGGAAATCTTGCATCCTTGTATACCCCTTAAGCTCTGACGACTTAACTTAATGGATTTTGTACACTTTAGTAATAGTTTGTAATTTATCTCTGAACGATATTTCATCTAGTTGAATGGAGCAGTATGATGATTATGTTGACTTGATAGAATTTTGCACATAGTTAGAGTTTGTAATTTATCTTCATTTTTCAATGTAATGCTTATACGCTGGAACAGAACTTCATCTGGTTGAATGATGTATGATTGTTTATATTGGTTTTGGTTGGTTTTGTTGTAGCTAACAATTGAGTGTTAGAAATAAGAGATCCTATGTTAGACTTGAGTGAATTTTTCTTGTCAAACATCTAAAAGAAGCCCGAGAATCGATTTGTTTCGATGATTAGATTGTCCTGTCCCAAGCCTCGGTCCCGTCCCCAGCCATTACTTCTAGCATCAAAGCACTATGACTAGGTTTAGAGTTTCGTGCTCTTTCGGGTGTTTCGAAAGGTTACGATTCACTTGGGTTGATTGGCTTCTAGTCTCACGAGGTTGAGCTACACCCCATCGAGGCCTCCTAGCCTTTTTTTGCACTTGATTGACTTGTGATTCCCTCATATGACTTTGATATTACTGGCTACAACTCAGTTATGTCGAGTGACCTTTTTGTCTCACTTGTTTAAGCTACAACTCACCTTGGTGGTCCAACGGTCCGAGTCCTTCCAACGTAACCATTTGCCTTGTATTTACTTATCCCTTCCAACATTCTCTATCTTATACTCCCTTTTCTCCTCATGGTACATTCTTTTAACAAATTTTGAACCAGCAGTCTAAGTTTGAAAATTGGCTGCAATCGATGACTAAATGAATTGAATGCCGTGGCGCCTAATAAAACTTAAGTCAATGGTTTTTTCAATATACTTTGCTCTCTTTTGGTCTTCAAATTTTCATAAAAAATTCCAAATTTTCTTTAGGTGACACAAATTTGATCTTAACTTTCACGTAGAGTTTAGAGGCCGAGACGAAACTCTTGAAATATAAAAAAAAAAAAAGGTGAAACAAATATAAAAATAAGTTGTGCACTCTTCAAAACCCATTGGTGTGAAAAAGAGAAGAAAAAAGAAAAAAAAAATCACATATCAAAATATGGATCTCCATCCCTTTTCTTTTCTGTTTGTTCCCACAATCGGAAAACGTCAAAATCATTAACATCTTTCTTTACGCGTGCAATTTGTGTTCTTCTCCTTACTTACATCATGAATTTGGCTTCTTCCCAAGTAGTAAACAAAAAGAAGAAAATATTCAACTACCTTCAAAAGCTCTCTCTCATCATTATCTATATGATTTTCTCATAAATATGTTAAATTATAAATTTCGTCTTTACACTTTGTGAGTTTATGGTCTTTTAGAGGGTTAATAAGTACACTAACTTTCTTAAATTACTACCACTTCACTATTCATATTTATTAAGTTTTAAAATAATTATTTTTTAGTTCAACAATATGTAGGGTGAGAATTCAATTATCAAATCTTTTAGTCGAAGTTATAGTGTTTTAACCAGTTGAGATAGGTTAGAATCAGCTAGGTTTAGGCTGAGTTTAAAGTAATGGATAAAAAACACATTTAGTTTCTGTAATTTTGTTAAAGTAGCGATTTGGTCAATGAACTTTAATTTGTAATGATTTTGTTCCTGTATTTTTAAATTGGTAACAATCTAACCCCTGAACTTTAATATGTAACAATTTAGTGATATAGTTTAAAATTTGTAACAATTTAGTCTCTACTGTGATTTTTTTTATTAAAATTAAGTGTCGGTTTTTATCATATAACAATTTAGTCTTTGTAATTTATAAACATATTTCGTCCCTCATTGGTTTATTGATCTAAATGTATAAGAAATTAATAAAATGTTTCACCATATAAAGATTAGATCGTTACAAATTTTAAACTACAGTTTGTTTATGCAAGGATATGCACAACAGTGTATTTCAGATTGCAGCTCGAACTCGGCCTCCGGACCGATCTGAATACTTGGGCGGACCTGCAAAAAGGTGAGCACTCCGACGATCAAGTCAGTATAGGTCGGATTCCCAGTTTAGTTCGAGGTCAGAAATCATCGTACCTGATCGTGGAGTGAAGTCCTCTACTTATGGGTGGTAGTCCCGCTAATCTCGCGACGGTTACACCCGGTAATCTCGGGACCGACGGTTACACCCGATAATCACGCCGCTGACAGTAGCTCACATCGGCCCCCACCGAGCTTCCCAGTAGGTCGGACCTCGGCCAGGTTCACCTCGGCCCTCATACTTAGTATCTGTCAACGCTAATGGTGGTGATCTCGGCGGTCCGAGCTGGGGCATGACTCATGGTCACCTTGGGGCACCAATGGCTGT